GTGGGGCTAATGAAAAACCAGTATTGCAGCTTGATATGCTGGACAGAGTAATTTTTCTGGAACTTTTATTATCCACTCTCTGCAATGGAACTTTTAATGTTTTAAACATCTTTGTGTCTGGATTAGGAAGATAAAATCATGGTATATCATCTGTAAAAATTTTACAGTTTAATTTCATCAGGGGAAAAAGCACTATCTAAAAGCACCAGATAGTGCATAGTGTCCTTAACTTGTGAGAAAAACAAAGGCATAAAATCCATTGAAGAATTCTGGAATGCAGCAAGTGTTGACCCCTAGGGTTTGTTTTCATTGTTTTATCAAATTTAACACAATTTTTAAATTTATAGAAGCTGTGGCCTGTAGCTGTAAAGTATTTGGCAGCAACTTCATTTTCATAAACAGCTTGAGCTTAAGGGTCGATCTCACAGGACATGTTTTACTGATATTAGCTGTCAGATGGATACACAGAAGTACATTCAATTTTTTGTACTTGTATTTATGTGTATTCAGTAAAAGACATTGTAGATGCTAGTACAATTTTCAAAGCAGCAATAGATCCGTTTGGAATAAATGAGGTGTCATCTTCCATTGCTTCTACTCTTCTGCTCCAGTCACTGAAGTACAATCGAAGTTCTGGCATGATTAGACTTTTCTACTGAATTTAAACTAGACACAAGGCTTCCTTGTCAGGGCTGTGAATGAAACATTTGTGAGCACTGCTTTCTTGCCCATCAACTCAAATAGGGGGCCACTAACTGGCCAAACACGGCTCTCACATTTTCTGTCTTGAATAAATATTTTTTTTCCCCCCATTAACGTCCAAGGAACAATCATTAATTATGAAGATAGACAAGTGCAAGACCAGTTTTGATCAGTTTCCATCAAAATGACTTTTCATCATGACCATTAACTATGAGTCTTTTGCATGTTGATGAATTCTGATTATGGTATTTCCAGGTAAATTGTTTTCCACGTTGCAGATTGTCTCGTTAGGGCTGCAAGCAGAGAGAACCCCAGAGGAGGCAGCAGATAGGTGGGTTTTCTTCTGTTGTAGTTTCCAAACTACTGCGCATACTGGAGGCCTGAATGCTTGTATTGACTTGGATCTACATTACACACTAATCAGTGGGCATGCTGTAAGAAC